CAGTATATGGTTGGGTATTGTAGGTGGTAAGTAGCTCCCCATTTCTTCCATCGACCATGACTATCCCAGCACTAATGTCCCCACCCGCTACCACAGCTTGTCCGTCCCCAACCCCAATGAAGTCCTGAGCTGCAGTGGGCGATTATATACTAATTTCAGACTTGTATTCCTCATAGGATGTAAGTATTGAGAATTTCCACATTCTACCTCCTCCAAAGACTCACCAGGCCCTATCTAACGTGCCATAGTTTGTATGAAAATCCTCAATCTTCCCTCTTGTAAATTTTAATTTATACTCACATACTCCCGTGCAACAGATCGTTCGTAAATTCCTTGCCCCCCCCCTTTTGTCCCCCCCTGCTCATGAATCGAGGGCCTTACAACAATTGGGGAAACAGAGGGTGAGTAATATAGTTTTAATCCTACTGACCTCTGTCGCCACTGGATATCTCTTGAGCTTTGTCGCAGTCTGTGAGTAGTGCATTTTGCCCCTGACCCTCATTTCAAATTATAATTAACTAGCCCCATAGTTTTGCATTCCGGACACCGGTGACTCGGGCATGTTTCCTGTACGTGCCACATCATCTGGCCGTAGAAGGCGCGCACGGCCATCGGTGGGCACCCCGTTTCGCCTCCGCAGCCAATTCCCCATTGCTTACCTACTGCGCTATAGCCTAAGGGCCGGTTCGTCAATCGAAAGATACTACAGTATTTCCACATTTATGGCACATCCTTTGCAGTGTTTTCATTTTACTATGCCTTGGTATTCTGCATGTCAAAAATACTATAGTGTTGTGAAGAGGAAACTGGGTCTCTTTTGGTGTAAACTCTGAGTCATGTTGTTGGGCTAGTCAGGCATTGCTTGTTTGGTTGTGGTTTTGTCATGATCGGTCCCGGAGGTGTCTGTGGGTCGGGGAGGGACGGGGGGGCTCTTTTCCCCTCCCTTCTTTCCTCCGAGGTCTGTCCGTGAGTGGAAGTATTGGTGTCGGCGACTGAGCGGGATGGTATTCGTTGGAGGCTACACCTATGACAGGAGTTTGATTTCCTTTTCAGTTCTTTTAATCAATCAGACCAATGCCAACTCCTTCTGGAAACTCTCTTTTTGTTTGTGAAGTCGTGGATTACCTGCCGTTTGTGCTTTACTTCAGGGTTTCATTTCTTCCCTTCCAGAACCTCCTAGAGATGAAATTAGTCTTGGACTTTTTACAATAGTGATTTTATCTTTGGAAAACAAAAGAGGGTATACGAAAGGAAAAAGTGAAGGCCAAAGTTCCTGGATCATATATGATTGTCTCAGAGAAGTTACATGATATTCAACAGCCTGGCACTAACTTAGTGAACACATTTATTTGTAAAATACAGGAGTATCTTTATTTTAGCTTGCGAGCAAGTTCCATAAAAGCACCACAGAGTTTTTATAATGGTACATGCCGGAAAAGCCCTAAAGTTGGTTATGCTACATCGAGACCGCGGTAGCAATTCGCAATAGCTATGCGGCCTTTTTTTTTTTAACCTTAAATCTAGTGAGGGGTATTGACGGCGTTAGAGGTAGGAATTCGGAGAGACTATTGGTGGCGGTGTGTGCCCTTGCTGGAAATCGCGAGATACTGCTCGGCATACTCTCATGATAGGTTGTTCGTTCGGGAGTGCGCTTGGTTTTCAAGCGGGCGCGATATGGCTTCGGGCGCACATAGGCTTCCACTCGCGCAGCTTGGCTTTACGGGAAAAGAGTTTCGATCGCGGGAGTGTGCTGGAGTCTTTAGAGACATGCATCCGCCGGAAGGATAGCGGAAGGAAGGAAGGCAAGAAGGAAAGCGGTGAGGCAAAAGGAGGGCCGGAGGCTAGGGAGCCGATGCAAATCTTTTCTTTGTTAGTTTTTCCTGTTTGCTAGTGTGTGAGACGTACCTAGGGGAGGGGGGTTAGGACTTTGTCGGGTTTGAATCGTTGATATATACTCCTGTCATTACCGTCAGTTAGTTAGAGAGAGTGCGCGATAGTCAGAGAGGTTGGCGTGGTGAGGAGTTTTCTTCCCCCTCCTGCGCGATGATCTCACGTGAGTGAGCTTGGGGTTGTTTCGTTTCACAGCACGTCACTCGCTTAGTATTGATTGACTCGCCGCCGTTCGTTCGTTCGTTTTTCGCTGCCGATACCTGTGGCTTCGTTTTTCGTGATGTTGGAAATAGCAGTAGATGGCCGCACTTGATGCGGGATGTGCTCATACATGAAGGCGTCAGTAGCATATGTCTGTACCCCTGTAAGACGCGTATGCCATGCAAACTTTTCTCATCCTTGTCTTTTCTTCCCTTTTGCCTTCTCTTGCGAGGGAACATCTTCCTGTACTTCACCTCTCACCTCAAGTTCTTCATCTCAGTCATCTTTAAGCAATCAATCATGGTCTTTCTCTTCACCTGAGAAAAACTTCCCATCTCCACTTGCGTGATTCTACTCCGCTGCGTAAACCCTCACTACCGATCATTACCTCCATATCAATCATTTTTCAACACGTGAGTTTCCACCGATCCGCCGCTGAAAAACCCTGGCATCCTCAGACTTAACTCGGCGCTTGACTTTATGAGCATGGATAGCCGTTACCAGAATGACCGGCGACCGAGCCACAGACGCGTGATGTTCGGTAGGATCTTTTAACCAATGCGGCATTCCTGTAAACCAAATAACGTACGGCAGCATACGAATAGGGCTGTTGTCCCTCCCTTTCAGGTATCATAGGTTCGGCAAAGCGATATGTCAATACTAGACCGGGCGCAATTGAATCAACAATTACCGTTGAATGAAAGTTCACTGTGTTCATAAGCAAAGCTACAAGTCTGGTAGGTACTGCGCTAGAATAGATGGTAGTTAATGCTGGGGAAAAAGACATCTTTTGTTGCGATTGTACCAAATTCTGCTTTCAACCCGGCGATATGTAAAAATCCTACACCGCACAATCTCCAAAGGCTATTCACCAGTACCTAGTTTACCATTCCCGTTTCCCTTGCCATCCCGGGCTCTTCCCCCGGACCCAGAGTCTCCTCACTCCGAAGGATTTAGTGTTCTCAGTGGGGCAGTCCGTCCATCTTAGAGCCGACAAGGACGGACCACATTGTGTCGTCCCATCCTGTCCTTTGGGCAGTTTTCCTGGTGATTGGTTATGGTGGATGTCGGGCCCCACAGTCCCCCGTATATCCTCGCTAATGTCTCAGTTTTCAGTTTTATTTTCTGACTAACATAGAACATAAAGATGGGAAGGTAGAGTTGGAAACCAGGTTCTGTCGATAATAATGGCAGCATGAAATATCAATCATTTCGCAGAGTGGGAAACATAGGACAGAATAAGCTTAAAAATAGAATCAAAAGAAAACCTGGACGACAATCGGCTAGGGGTGGGGAAATGGTAGCAATACTCAGATAGGGGGTGCGGGCATGGCAAATAAAGAGTAACTTAAATCAGTAGGAAAAGAATCCAGCAACTAGAGACATGTCAAAGCAAAGAAAGAATAGATGGAAGTAAGATATAGAACCGGTGGGTGTGAATGGCATAAAGTATGCAAATGTAGGGAGAACGAAAAAAAGAAGCTAGAGGACAGAGGAGGGATGAAGTCCAATAGAATATAATTCGAGCCCTATAAGGGAATTTTGCATCCCGTTAAAATCCGAATCAGCCCTCCATACGCCAAGCCCACGTTCCATTAGCTATCGGGTAGTACCCTGGCTAATAATGGGGTAAACCTTTTTAATACCATGCATTTTTGCAGTTACCTTTCAGATACCATCCGCCGACAAATGTGCCAGCGAAAAATTGTGAAACCATGCTACCTGAGGGTCTCCAGAGGGTAAGTGCGGTGCTATGTTCTCAGTTCCCCTTAACAACCACTAAATACTAAAACATGGCATGCGAACTGACGGTCAAAACAAAGATTAAACCGGCAAACCTGTAGATAAATAATGAGATAGCACGTAATTGGAAGGGCTAACATCATACATCAAATGAATACCGGAATAGCGAGAAAAATGAGTGTGGAGGTGATCCCAACTGAGAGTGGAGGGCGGTTAACCTCTGGGTGCGGTCGGGTAACATGGTTTCACATTTTTTGAGTGGTATATTTCTCGGTCAGTGGTATCCAAAAGGTGGGGCGCTAATTGCATGGTATTGAAAAGGTTTTCTCGACGGCATAAGGTACCCAGTCCTCATCCTTCATATCCAAGTAGGTCCGTTTCTAGGGGGACCGCGGGCCCGGCAAACTGAGACATTATTAGGGGCAAACCTTGCCTCTACACGATCTAATTCCCCTGTAACTCACAGTGCTATCTTCCCCATAGATTCTACTTTCTCAATTCCATTATCACTATCATAACATAAATTATTATCAAAGTTTCTAACACGGTTTCACTCATTAGAGATTAGAATCCCAGAGCACTTACAACCCGTGAAGCGAGTACTATTGGCAGCTTTATCCACACATCCAACGGTTTTGCCTTACCATCAGACAGATTTGGCTTTCATTGCTGCAAGATACGACCCGACGGTTGCCCCCAATAGGGGGTGAAGTACTGGACACCTAAAATCCCCCCTTGGTTACCATGATGACTGGGGCATGGAAGAGCCCATTGCAGGCTCTGGGAACCACCCAACCTTGAGCAACGCCCGGTCTTGTTAAAAACTCGTATAAACCCAGAAAATACGGTATTTTCTATTCCTTGAGCACTCCCGCTCTGCCTACGATGGAGTTACTCACACTCACAGAACCCCAGGTAGTCTCGATCAAACATTATCAAGCCCTGTCGCTTTACCACAGACACCACTATGAACATATTCAACATGGATTACGGTAAATATTTATATTACACAACACACCATATACTTGCGCAGCCAAATTGATGCTAGCGACCTAGGGTGGAAATTCCCATGCCAATTGTCCAGCTTCCCCTTAGCCGCGCGAGTAGTGATTGTAACTTACAACAACCTCTCTGCGGATAATCTAGCGTCCTTCCCTCGCTGCTTACTCCTTCTTGTACTTTTGCTTTTCCCGAACAATACTGGATTTCACCACAAATATCTCGAATAATACCCATAAAAATTCTAACCCAACAGTGACAGCACCAATCTCTATCACCTTAGCATTTTCCAATCCCAATACAGGCGCGTCAATGCTAGTCCAGGCACCATCATCACCATGCGGTGCCGGGGAGAGATAATAATACCTGACTTGCTCTGGTAACAAGTCCTCACACTCTAGGTGCAATCTGTCAAACAGGTTAACCACCATCTTTTTCCATTGCTCACTTCTACAAACCCAGAATACACTCAGCCAAGCGAAATTGAGCTTCCTGGTTGCGCTGTTGTGGCGGGGCTCCAAGTATCATAAGTGTAATGATAACTCTAGCTCTATCCCGTTTTCTCCCGTTTTAGTATCCACTTCAATCAAGACCTAGCCCCCTAATTTCTCCCGTGTGCAAACTGGCGCCTCAAGATCTGTCTCCCAGAAATTGCTTTTATTCGCTCTATGTTTAATGAGTCGAGCAGTTGTTGGTTCTCCGATGAGAGTTGATATTTGTCGATGGAGAGAGCTGCTGGGAAGGTGAAGCACGCATTGAGTGTGCACTCACCGCCATCATTAGGCGGCGGTTTCACTGGGAGATGAATAGAGAGCCTGAGCTTAGGGTGTAAGGCTGTTAGACGTACTGTAGGGAGACTAAATGTCGATTCTGACCCATGGTGGCGGGAGGCAAATAAAAACGTTGTTGGTTCTAGGTAAGTTAGGGAAATACATAAAATATTATCCGAATACCGGTAGGATATATTACCAGGGTCACTGCTCTCACCAAGCTCAGTTATGAAGCCTGCTAATGAAAGATTTTCCCATTATATTGGAGTTATACTCCCAAAGAGCCCAAGCTCGACACCGGAGGTTTTTGCATTGGTTTTTGGCAACCCCGTCCTATTTATGATAGTTTGGAGCATTCACGCTTGACAACACAAACATTTGGACAATAGCGTCCTAGGTCACATCGATATATTGAGCACTTTTTTTTTAATTAAACTCCAGATCGTCGTACAGTATCTCTCTTGGAGAGATGGTTTTGGAGGTACTGGACGAATGCGGAAGCCGAGCATAATGGGGAGTAGAACTGGTAGCTTCGGGGTATCGCGATAAAGGAGGGCCTGGAATCGCGACAATTATTTGTGCCGAAGACCTTCTCAAGGAGCGGGCAAATCGAGTCCCTGCCCATTTGCCTGTCAGTGCATGCACGTAATTGAGGAGGGTAGATTGGCATACGGAGAAGCTCCTTATTCACGTGACAAAATCACATGCAAGCCAGCAGGAGTCCTTGAACTGTACCGATCTATGGATTCATAAGTGTCTCCCCTAGCAAGTTTCAAATGAACCTCCCTAGATGAGTGTGAAACATCCGGGATCTCGGCTGGGAGTTCATGAGTGCCAAACGAAATTCGGTATCCACGTAGGGTAGATGGAGGTAGCACTTTTATTATAAAGGTGTTATTTTTTTGCAGGCAGAAGTTATCAGCGGGAGTTCTGCGGGATTCGTGGACAAGGATAGTGGAGTACTATTTCATGGTTGCCTCGTATTGGATGAATGGAAGTCGAACTCCAAAAAAAACAGGCATGGACAGTGGACTTTGTCCGCCTGTTCCGAAAACAACCTCATCGGGTGGCTGAGCAAACCCAGAAGGCTAGAAATTAAGATGGCTGGGCTTCAGACGTTGCTATGGTGAACAAAATTGTTCAAGTCCCCAAGTTCTAGTGGAGAAAGTTTTCTCTTTCTTCCTCGCTGCCTCGCAAAAGCCCCTTCCCTCCCTGCAATCCTCCAAACCGTCGTCATAGCTGTGCCCGAGAACCTTACCTTTTTCTCCTTTACCACCGACAACCTTTTCACTCCTGCCACCAGTACGGTGGGATACGTAGGTAGATTGGAGGCCTGCCGTGGATAAGTTCAGAGATTAAGGACTTTGCGATTTCACATCCAGAGTCAAACCCAAGCTGTTTGCTTGGTCCATAACCTCATTTGCCCCACATCCAGAGCCTTTTCACAAACCTCTTACCGGTATGGCCGACGAAATTGATCCGCACCACCTAGTTCTTATCATCCATGCCAAATATGGGTCAAGGAAGCAGGATGGTGCTCCTCGCCGCTTAGACACCACGGATCACATTCTCGAACATGGCATTGGGCACCACCGTGCTACAAACCTTCAGACCTTACGGATCCTAGACGCATTCTCTAGTTTATCAGTTCGTAAGCCAAAAACACAAGTTGTGGCTTTCGCTCTGCAACGGGATCCTACAAAGCAAGAGATCCACCTTACCATCGCAGAGAACAAAAATGTTCAAGCCGGACTCGACGCCTATGTTAAGGAGATATGGGAAGGTTTGCGAAAGCTATCAGAATTGTATGCAAGCTCCAGGCCCGAGGAATCAGATGAGGCTCAAAGGTTGCAGGAAATACCCAGAAAGGTACCAGTAGGCCTCGATTTGGAGGTAGAAATATATCGTACCATATCTCGGCATACATTGCCGAAGCAGCTAAAGCGGGTAGAGGCGCTTACAGGACCCCTTTTCGAGTTCATGCATGAGATATTTGTGTATCGTGGGAACACCTTCCCGCAAGACTTTGACAACAATTTGTACTCCTTTGTGCGGGAGATGGAAAAGATAACTCAATTCCTCCGGGATCTTCATAATGGAAGACACATGACGGATGAGGAATGGAAGTTCATATTCCAAACAAGCATCATTGTTGGTAATGAGGCAGCTATTGTGCTCACAGCCGATGATCACCTTGGCTGTGAGAGGTTAGCAGAGGAGGTAAATTTGTCAAGAGGTATGCCTATTCTACTCTGGTGTTGCCGCAAAAACTTGAACAATTGAGCCGCGTACTGCGATATGGACATTGAGCTTTCCTTTCTCACTAAGTCCTGGCAAAATATACTCCTGTCTCGGAAGGGGGAAAGAGGCTGAGTTTTTGCTGTACTGTACAGGTACCAGGCAAGATGTTTTCATACAAGGATTGCCAAGTCTGTCAGTGGTGGTGATTGAAGCAAAAACACTGGACAACGATACAGTGCAGGAGGCTATTGCTGTGTTTTCCTATTCAAGAAACACGAAGTCTTGGACATCTCTGCAATCCTCACCTTTTATGAAAAGATCTTGCCTGGTACTTGTACAGTATAAATTGGGAAAGACCAGAATAAGCTGGCATGGGTACAAGAAAGTGTGGTTGGAAGAGGATTGCTTCAAGGGGTGATAATATTCGCATGATTGCCATCCAAGCAATTATGCAAATCTCATTTCTTTTGGCGGTTTGATTCCCTCCAAAGGATGCCACACTGTCTTTACCCTTGCCAGTCTGCTCCGGTTTTTCCCAATTTATACTGTATTTTTAGCCCACTTTCCAGAGAAGGGAATTTCTTACTGCATGGCTAATATTTCAATTAAATCTATAATATTCGAGTTTTTATGCTAGTTTTGACACCTTCCGCCTTTGAGCTAACCTCACCCCTCTATTAGAGCATCTCGCGGAAAATCCCTTCCCACTTCGTCGTACAATTGAGAAACTCGTTTCTCAATCAATGCACCTTAACAACCTGTTCGAGTTTGCCAATTCCCCTAGTCTCACTCCCACTTTACAGAGCAGCTTGGTCGTTTCTATGGTCCCAAATCAGACTTGTCCCGCAAAGTTACCGGAATCGAGAGAGGCGTGGGAGTCGATTTTGATTGCTGAGAATCTCGGGGACCCCGATGACCGGCGCGAGGCGGCGGAAAAATTGGCAGAATATAATACCAAAAGGTGCCCCATACACTGCGAGTGTAAGCTTGTCCAGCACTTCAGCACTAGACAGGGAAATCAAGGAGATGTCATCCCCCCATTCAATTACCTTGGCGTCTCTAAGCTCAGTTGTGGCACTTGCCGTGTTTGGTTGGAAGCATTTAACGAGCTGGGTAAACAACAGTTTTACACAAGAGGCTCTCACGGAGCTTGGTACTGGCCTTGGGGAATGCCAATAGTGGAAGAGTCCTTGGAGGAGGCGATGGTAAAAAAGCTTCGTAGAGCATACACCAGTGTTCCTAACCGTCTCGGGCAGGGTGGGTAAGGACGGCAGGGCATGGCGTCCGTCTTTGATAAAGACTGCCGTTCGAAGGGTTGACGCCCGGGCCCGGGAGTCTTAATACAAATGGCATCTTCCGACCGTCATTCGCAGGGCCCGGCCGTCATTCGTAAAGCCCGGCCGTCATTCGCAGGGCCCAGCTCTCATCCGCAGGGGCATTTGCAGGTGAGACACCTATAGTGCCCGGCCGGCCGTCCGGGTAGTGATTAGGACGGACCACGGGATAGGCGTCCGTCCAGGGCAGAGTTCCAGAAACCGGTGTCCGTCCCGTCCGAAGCCAAGGACGGACGGACTGGACGCTTGGGAACACTGGCATACACCGAGCACCAGTCTCTAGATGCAAGGACAGAGAGCACTATCGCTTCTATAACCCACGAGACACCGCCCTGTTTAGCGACTCATGAGAGGCAGTCTCTTTTCTCTAAGTGGGTTGCACACAAAAAGGAAGAGTACAGGGAGTTCGATATGAGGCTTGTTAACTACGGGTTTAGATTTTTCGGGCAGGGTTTACAGGTTTTTCCACGGTACTATATGTAGATAATAGATTGGGTAAATCATGACCCATCTTACTTTACTTCTTTCTACTTGCTCTTGTGGATGGAATTTGTGGTTGTCTATTAGGTTTTGCTACAATGGGGATTTTGTAACTTTCCGGGAGGTTGCGACAGGGGCCAACAGTTCTCTAAGCTTTTTTTTCAGAGCTCGACCGTGAAATACCCGCGCCATGGTTGTCACTCCGTCATAAGCCCGGATTGATTGCTTGCTCGCAACCTGGGGCACACTCATGATAGTGCCTAACGGCTCAATGAAAATAACAACTCAACGACACTTTCACGCTTAATCCCAATCAAATTCCCACCGCATGAAAATAAAAGTTCTAAAAGAGAGGAAAAAAAATAGAAGCCTTGTTTGCAAAGACTAAAAACAATGTATGAGAAAGTTAGAAGGGTGTTCAAAGCATCAGAGAATGTTTAGTAGTAGTTCGTAATTCTTAAATTCACATACAAATTGAAAGTGTCATTGAGCTGTTATTTTAGTGGAGCTATGGGGCACTCTCTTGAGAGTGCTCCAGGTTGCAAGCAAGCGAGAAATCAGGGGTTGTGAAGGAGTCACAACCTTGGCACGGGTAGTACTCACCAGGGACATTATTTGGGAGAGGACATCAGATATGGGAGGGACAGAAGTTCGAGATGTCAAAGTTTTTTTTACCTTTCCTGGCATTATCGACCAAATCAAGGGCCTGTTTGGACCTATCCAGTGCTCCCAACGGGCCGGGTAGGCCAGGCTGAACCGAAGCCGGGCCCGGCCTGCCACAACTATGGGGGATTTAGCCCGGCCGGAGCCTATAGGCTTTGAAAAGCCTGGGCCTGGCATGGCCGGGCCCAGCTATAGGCCGTATAGGCTAAGTACCTGCCACCTGATAGGCCGGCCCAGCCTATATGGCCTAGCCAAGCCGGGCCCAGCCTATGAATACGGGCCTACAACCCCCTCAGATCCTTGATTTCCATTCGGCTCATCTCCCATTCCACTAAACTAGTCATAGTGTGCATATTCACTGATGGATTCCTGCTGAAGAAACTGAATCGGACGGAAGGATTGTGAGATAGGACTGCATTGGAGAATCTGGAGGTAGATTTCCTGGACTTCTTTGAGCTGGTTGTGGATCGGTAATCGCATAGTTATCATACTTCAACCAACAACTGAGGATAGAGATAAAATAATAAACCACAATGAAAGCTGTAAGGAATCGGGCCACTCTTAAAGCAATCAGCTCTAAAGGTCCCACTGGCAGGCCTATAGGCTCCTACCAGGCCTGATAGGCTTTGGCAGGCCGGTTGAGTTCGGCCTATATCCGCCTAGGCTCATCGTCAGAGCGGCCTGCCTTGGCCCAGCCTACGGCCTATAGGCTGGCCTATCACTGGCCTAGCCCGTTGGGAACACTGGACCTATCAGTCAAATAGGTTTAAGTCTTTCGGAAAAATAGTATTTTTTTTTTTATCTGGTGGCATGCTGAATAGGACCTAAATCAATTCCCGCCTTCATCATCACCCAGTTTCGTCGCAATTACGCTGAAGACTACGACCATCGTGCCGGTAGCAAAACCCCTCTGTGGTGTACCCAGTATTCCGAATGGTCCAACTGGTCTGGTCTTGGGGACAGGACTTTTCAGTCAGTCCTCTTTGATGTTAATTACTGGACCAGCCCAGTTCAAGTGCTCTGGTCCAGTCCAGGACCAGTTACGGACTAATCTGTATGAAGTAATTGCATAATATTAACATAATGGTACTCATAAAATAAATACATGTTTTGCGATGAACAAAATCTGCCATGTTACAATCCAAATGAAAGCACCTGTACCCCGGTACATTTACCTTCGTTGGAAGTCTTTGATGCTGCTGGGCCTAGGCAGGATATTACGCACTTGCAGAATATCACACTTCCCTTTTCTCCTTACCATTGGGACTCTCGCTTCAGATATGCGTCTCAGATATCCGCTCTATATCAGTATAGCACTAGAAGCTATATGATACTCAAAATGTGCGAAGCATGAAAGACCCCGGAAGTGATATAAATGCGCCGGGTGCTCCGATGCTATGACCAATTGGAGTTCTGATAATCTTTGTCTCTCATTTGTTAGCTTGGGAACCTGTGACAGGGGAAAGGGAACCTACATATAGGGGGGGTAATCGCTTATATCTGGTCCTGTCTATACCATGAGTAAATCAGTTAGTGGAGTGTGATCATGAGTGAGAATGTAGGAGAGAGAACTTTTCCAGAGCTGTGTTAGTATTTTATCAGCTGTAGTTTTGGCCGTTAGATGTTGCCGTCAAGTGGGTCAGCCCAACCACGATGCAGATTCTATCACTTGGTCTTGACCAGTTTGACTGATCCTGGTCCAGTCAGTTCTGACAACCACAACCACCCAGTCTGTTTAATTTCCGTCATTGTACTAGACTGGACTTTGACCGGACTAACTAGTCCAGCCCAGTCCTGAGCCAACCGTTCGGAACCCTGTGTGTACCATGGAGCGGGTTAGGTTTACCTTTATGAACAATAGCGATCACCTATCCATACCGGTAGCACCAGGCACTTACGAATGCAGTGGTCCGTATGTGGGAGGCCACAGAAGGGGCTTTGCCGTAAGGTTGGTCATTGTATGATACTCTAATTCCCCTTCTACAAGTGCAGTTCCCGAACTAGGACTCCAAAAGAGAGGCTTAAGCCGTCTATCTATTAAGCCTCTGTTGAGAATCTCTTTAAACACTCGCAGCTGTGTTATCTCGTAATCCGCAATCCATAGTTTTTCAATGACTGTCTTCTCCGCAAGTTTCCACCCCCGAGATCTAAGCTCACCTGAATCCACCGCCTCCCCTCTCTCAGCAGCAGCAAGCAAACAGCAGGAGGATGGGCAGCCCTACCTCTGGTCTTGCCCCCCCCCCCCCCTCCCGCCGAGATTCTGAGTGAGGTTGTAATGCTTCAAGCTCTATTGGGAGTCCATGACAATCCTAACCGGGGATGTAAGATAGATGGTGATTAGAAAGAACTTGAAAATGCCCGACAATATGCCCCAGAATCCGATTGAGTACATGCTCTATATTTTGGTTCAAGGTCAGAAAATGTCATAGTCTCATTGGAGAGGGGCACAGGTTCACTAAAATTGGACGATGCTCCGCAAGCACTGCTCCCTTTATAATACAGTACATACCCCGACATCAAATTGATCCATTGATGACACAAATTATTGTGCTCTCCCTTGGACTCTGCGTTTACAGCAGCCATGAACCTCCAGTAGAAGGGGAGGGAGGCCACGGACAGGAACGGATGTTATTACGTGGTGTTCGTTATTTTGTTAACCAACACTGTTAAGCCTATCGTGATTTAGACAGTGATTTCTGTTGTGATCTCTGATGGTGTATTTGAAGGATTCTTGCTGTGCTCCCGGTTTGCAAGCCTGTAAATGAGATGGAGTGGCAGATGTTACCACCTTGTTGCTTGCAGAGCTTGGCGTCATGTGATCACCTGTGCAATGTATATATTGGCATGGATTTCTATGATTAGTTTCCATTTTTTTAACACTAAAGGTCTGAAATGCTACACTATATTGTAAAATATACCTCAAATACCATAGGGGCCTCACATGCCACACCAAGTGGATTATGTAAGTTTATTTTTTTTATAGGAGGTGAGATATTTTAGTATTATAAAATATAAAACATTATGATACCTAAATTATCAAGCAAAAGAAAATAAAAGATTGTAGTATAAATAAGAAAAAACAAAAAAAGGAGAGAATGTATAGTAAAGAT